AAGAGCGGCGTGGGGTCTGCGTCCTCCGGGGGGTCGGGGGTGGTGGTACGCGGGGTAGGCGGCGTCAGCGCGGAGGCGGAGGCGGAGGAACGGCGGGGTCTGAGGAGGAGGAGGCGGCGGGGTTTGGGTTTGGGGAGGAAGGCGGAGAGGATGGATCGGGCGGACAGCGAGAGCATGGCTTCGAGAGAGAGAGAGAGAGAGACAGAGGGGAAAGGAGGAGAAAAATGGCGGCTGAGGGAATGAAAATGGACGGATTTGTCCCTGCAAGTTAGGGCACGTACGGGACTCTTACCGCTCAAAAAAAAACGTACGGGACTCTTAAATCGGAGATTCTAGGATTGGTGGGGAACAATTTACAGAAGATGATGCGGCCGAATATTCAACCATGCATACACTCCAAACAGAATGTCAACAAACCGGACAAACTTTATCAGACACAATGGAATTCAAAAAAATTAGGACATAATTTTCGTAGAACTGACAATATCTCACCTGTTCAAACAAACCAAGCCCGCAACACTCGAAAGTAATTTTAGAAAGTTGCATAGTTCATCCGTGCAAATATCTCTAGCACAACAATAGTTTAAATTCAACGAGATAGTTGAATGTTCAATAAGTTTTTCGAAAACATCTATTTTCAAATTCAACAATGCTAGAGCTAGACCCGGCACATGGCAGTCCACACAAACTGCCCTTTAAACTTCATCCAACAATGTGCTTGTAGCTCTATGAGGGTGAGCTCAACTTCCGCCATGCAATATTGTAAAAGTAGGTTTCCCGGATTTGCATGTTGTGGGCACTCCAAATCTGTGCCTACCAAGCTCAGGTACACATTGTGGTCTTATGTGTAATATACGAAGTGAACCGCGCCTTTCACATGGTTTTCACTGCTCAAATCGAGAGGACCTAACATGTCAATGGAAAACTTTTTGGGTTTAGGGTACAAATTGTCGAACATCATTTGCTCGACATGATTTTTGGTGGGCGTTTCTGCGAGAGTCAGTACTAGGCGTCGGCCCATTGGATCCCCCGCGGGTACTGCACATAAGGATGGCAATGGGTTGGGTTTGGATCGGGTTAAACAATATCAAATCCATATCCATATTCATGAAGACAGTCTTTACCCGCCTATGAAAAAAATCCATGGATGACAAATTATGTCCATGTCTAAACCCGATGGATATCCATACCAACTGGATATCCATTGGGTCCTCTCAAGACATAACACAATGTTAACATAAGCTCTAACATTCTTTACCTCGTGGCAAGCTAGCCTTCACTTATTGTAAACATCAACTTATGGTGAATCAACGTCCACTAACAACCTAATATCATTTAGTATTTTTCTAAATGATGAGAATGACGAGTCATTTAATGAGGACATAAAATATGGGAAGGGGCGCTGGAGTGTGTTAGTGGGGATGGAATGTCAATTAATAAAAGTTACGGTGGGGATCGTGCAATTTCTTTTGCATGTTATACATAACAACATGTAAAATTGCAGTGGGACATGTGACTGTGGGGTAGGGATACTAGATTTTTGCCCATTAATGCATACTATCGGGTCGGGTTTGGGTATACCCACGGAAACAAGATTTTTATCCATGCCCTACCTGCGAGCAATCGGGTCGGGTTTGGGCGCCGCCCATGGGCACAAAAGCCTATCCAAACCCTATCCATTCGGGTCGGATATCCATGGCTATCCATGTCCATGGATAAAATTGCCATCCCTAACTGCACAACCCTTTAATTCCACGCCCCCCGCACCATTGGATCCCCCCATATATCCTCTTTTCCTTGCGTTAAGACGTCGCTAATGCCCGCTACCGCCCGTCGTTCCGTCCTCATCCCATCGCCCGTTAGAGCATCGATGCCCAGCGTGGCGGTTCGCCTCGGTCATCACCGGTTGTACTCACCATGCGTGCCAACCCCATGCATCACATCACCCCTCTATTTGTTGGTTCCAGTAAAACAAAAACATCGATCCAGCAAAAACACCGCCAACTCGAGCAAAATCATCACCCCATCATCCCATCACACCCACCATTGCTGGTCCAGGAAAAAAAATAACATTGATTCCAACAAATTTCAAGGCCGGCCGCAGCAAAAATCAACGCCGGTGCCAGCAAAAATATCGTCGATTCCAGCAATAATTACCACCAGTTGCAACAAAAAACTCCGGTGGTTCCAGCATCCCGCTGACCTGGTTCTAGCACGTCGCCATCCCGCGCATCGCGGTCATCGCAACTTCTATGAGTGCCGGTAGCAGCTTTTCCACCGGCCGGATGCAACTATTTTCGCAGTCGATTGCCGCACACAGAAAAAAGGACGACAGCGTAGTAGCACACAATGCTAGTAATCTATTGGCCGTTGCTACCGTTCTAGCATTGACAACGGCTGCGGAGCGTGGGTTGCGGTGCCGGTTGTAGCTTTCTTGGGCCGGTTGTAGCTCCACGGCGACCCTTACATCGATGTCGCGCGCGGCGATGGTGGGGCTTCTTGGAGAACGGCTGTGCAACAGCTACCAGCGCGAGGGTGTTGGCGGGAGCACGAGCGAGCAGTGGGGTGAACGCGGTGGTGGAAAGAAGAAAAGAGAAGGGGCGGTTGCGACTCTGTGGCTGGGAGAAAAGAGATAAGACATGGGGCGGTGCAGCGGGGCCCACATGAGAGGATGTGGCTCGAGTGGGGTGAAGGAAATATGCGCTAGAGGCAATAATAAAGTTATTATTTATTTCCTTATATCATGATAAAAGTTTATTATTCATGCTAGAATTGTATTAACCGGAAACATAATACATGTGTGAATACATAGACAAACAGAGTGCCACTAGTATGCCTCTACTTGACTAGCTCGTTAATCGAAGATGGTTATGTTTCCTAGCCATAGACATGAGTTGTCATTTGATTAACGGGATCACATCATTAGGAGAATGATGTGATTGACTTGACCCATTCCATTAGCTTAGCACTTGATTGTTTAGTTTGTTGCTATTGCTCTCTTCATAAATTATACATGTTCCTATGACTATGAGATTATGCAACTCCCGTTTATCGGAGGAACACTTTGTGTGCTACCAAACGTCACAACATAACTGAGTGATTATAAAGGTGCTCTACAGGTGTCTCCGAAGGTACTTGTTGGGTTGGCGTATTTCGAGATTAGGATTTGTCACTCCGATTGTCGGAGAGGTATCTCTGGGCCCTCTCGGTAATGCACATCACTTAAGCCTTGCAAGCATTGCAACTAATAAGTTAGTTGCAGGATGATGTATTACGGAACGAGTAAAGAGACTTGCCGGTAACGAGATTGAACTACGTATTGAGATATCGACGATCGAATCTCGGGCAAGTAACATACCGATGACAAAGGGAACAACGTATGTTGTTATGCGGTCTGACCGATAAAGATCTTCGTAGAATATGTGGGAGCCAATATGAGCATCCAGGTTCCGCTATTGGTTATTGACCGGAGACATGTCTCGGTCATGTCTACATAGTTCTCGAACCCGTAAGGTCCGCACGCTTAAAATTTCGGTGACGATTGTATTATGAGTTTATGTGATTTGATGTACCGAAGGTAGTTCGGAGTCCCGGATGAGATCAGGGACATGACGAGGAGTCTTGAAATGGTTGAGACGTAAAGATCGATATATTGAACGACTATATTCAGACATCGGAAAGGTTCTGAGTGATTCGGGTATTTTCGGGGGTACCGGGGAGTTACGGGAATACGAGGAAGAAGTAATGGGCCTCATGGGCCAAGTGGTGGAAGAGAGGAGGCAGGGCGCGCGGCCCCCTAGCCCAAACCGAATTGGACTAGGGGGTCGGCCCCCCTTTTCTCCTTTTCCTCCTTCTCCTTCCTTCTCCTTCTCCTCCTTCCTTTCCTCCTCCTAGTAGGAGTAGGAAAGTCCTACTCCTACTAGGAGGAGGACTCCTCCTCCTGGCGCGCCCATAGAGGGTCGGCCGGCCTCCCCCTTGCTCCTTTATATACAGGGGCAGGGGGTACCTCTAGACACGCAAGTTGATCAGTTGATCTCTCCCAGCCGTGTGCGGTGCCCCCCTCCACCATATTCCACCTCGATCATATCGTAGCGGTGCTTAGGAGAAGCCCTACGTTGGTAGCAACATCATCATTGTCACCACGTCGTCGTGCTGACGGAACTCTCCCGTGAAGCTCTGCTGGATCGGAGTTCGCGGGACGTCATCGAGCTGAACGTGTGCTGAACTCGGAGGTGCCATGCGTTCGGTACTTGGATCGGTCGGATCGTGAAGACGTTTGACTACATCAACCGCGTTGTGCTAACGCTTCCGCTTTCGGTCTACGAGGGTACGTGGACAACACTCTCCCCTCTCGTTGCTATGCATCACCATGATCTTGCGTGTGCGTAGGAATTTTTTTAAAATTACTACGTTCCCCAACAGTGGCATCAGAGCCTAGGTTTTATGCGTTGATGTTGTGCACGAGTAGAACACAAAGTGAGTTATGGGCGATATAAGTCATACTGCTTACCAGCATGTCATACTTTGGTTCGGCGGTATTGTTGGATGAAGCGGCCCGGACCAACATTACGTGTACGCTTACGCGAGACTGGTTCTACCGACGTGCTTTGCACACAGGTGGCTGGCGGGTGTAAGTTTCTCCAACTTTAGTTGAACCAAGTGTGGCTACGCCCGGTCCTTGCGAAGGTTAAAACAGCACCAACTTAACAAACTATCGTTGTGGTTTTGATGCGTAGGTAAGAACGGTTCTTGCTAAGCCCGTAGCAGCCACGTAAAACTTGCAACAATAAAGTAGAGGACGTCTAACTTGTTTTTGTTATTGTATGAGATGATCATGTATTGTAACCGAGTTATCGGCAACTGGCAGGAGCCATATGGTTGTCGCTTTATTGTATGCAATGCAATTGCGTTGTAATGCTTTACTTTATCACTAGGCGGTAGCGATAGTCGTGGAAGTATAAGATTGGCAAGATGACAACGATGCTACGATGGTGATCAAGGTGTCGCGCCGGTGATGATGGTGATCATGACAGTGCTTCGGAGATGGGATCACAAGCACAAGATGATGATGGCCATATCATATCACTTATATTGATTGCATGTGATGTTTATCTTTTATGCATCTTATCTTGCTTTGATTGATGGTAGCATTATAAGATGATCTCTCATTAAATTT